CCGCCCCGTGGGGCCTCTTTCGGGCTGCCCCGCTGGAGCCCTGCGCTGCCGGCAGAGCCAGTCCCGCTGCCCGCGGCCTCGAGAGGCGACGGGAGGGAAGGCGGGAGGGTGGAGGGAGCTTCCTCCATGTTTGTTTCCTTTCTCAGGGGGAGACCTGCAGGCCGAGGCGCAGAGCGGAGCGTCAGCTTCCAGCTGCTGGTGCGGGAGCTGGAGGTTTGATGGAAGTAGTGGCTGAAGGACGCCGCGCCTGCACCGAAACCATTAAAAAGGGAAAGAGGCTTGAATCGATGGTATTGCGGGTCTCTCTCTGTTTCCCATGGCCAACGCGCCCAGCGCGAGGCTGGCGGCAGCGGACCCCCGGGTGCTGGCCTTAGCTGCTGAGGTCACTGAGAGCAGAGAACAGGACATCCCCCTGCTACTTCTGAAGCTAAAGGGTAATTACTACTGTCTGTAAAATAAAAGGATGAGGTAGTGAAGTATGGACAGCGCTTCCTTCTGCCTCCTTAAATACAGCAGGTTTTTCTCAATATTCCTGTCGGGGCCAGAAACTCTGAGGTTGATAATAGGGCTTTTTCTGAGAGTGGTATTGAGTGGCATTTGGCTGGGCAACAATAAAGAGGAGCTGGGGAGCAAACAGAGAGGAAGTCTTTGCTCCCTTTCAGCTGTCACTGTATTTGTAAGACCTCTGCTGATGTAGGTGAGGATCTTACAGTTGGTCAAATAATTTCTCCCAGTGCTTTTAGGTAGAGAACCAGAGTGGTCATCAGTATTCAGTTTTTAACACAGAAATGCAGTCATGGCCCAGAGCTCCAGTGTGACTCCCCCTGCCTTTCCTTTTGCCACATAGCCACTGTTCATAGAAATGGTAGAAACAAGTTAGGTCCTGTTCTAAATTGGGATGTAATTATAAGGAAGCTATATGTTTCACAGTGGTTGTGGTTTTATCTGGCCTAGGAAATCCATACAAATGGGCTATATCCCAGGTAATGTATGTTTTACTAAATGTGTAATGAGAAAATGGAAACCTAAGTTTAGCTATCCTTCCCAATTGTCATATAATCTAAAAAATGGATTGTAGTTCTAGGAGTGAAAAATGCTGACAAAATATTTTATGCTGCTGTTAGCACTTTTAGAATTACCTTAATCCTGGCTCTGTGTACACATACTCCTCTTGCATTTTGGAAGAAGAAAAAAACCCCAAAGACCTTGCACATCAGAATCTTACGCTCCTCTTTGTCTCTCTCCTGCTTTCTTCCCACAGGAATTTTAAATAGTGCTTCCCTGGGATGTGAAGAATCAAAAAAAATTAAACAAGACATATATGATTATGATCTTACTCAGTACTGCATGCTGGTCCTTAGACAAGACCACTCTCGACTGCGTGGAGGCTGGGCTACTGCTGCCCAGCTAGCAGAGGTACTAAGGTAAAAAGGAAAATGCAAAGAAGTTTTCTTCTTGTTTTCTTTCTGGGCTTTCATCTTGTTCTTTCTCTTTTCAAGCTGTAATGCATTGGCTCCCATCCAGAAAAAGGCTTGTTGTTCAGGAAAGGCCAGGGTTAAAGTGCAGGGAGCAGTCAAGAGTGAGGGGTCAGGCATAGCCTAATTGGTCCTGTTTAATTCATTCGCATTGTGTTTCACTGAGCTGGGTAAACTGTTTGGTGGGAACAGTTTTTGTCTTGGCTTTACCTTTTTTTGTGAACAGTACTCATCAGTGTCACAGTTTTTAGCCAGTAATTGCTAACTTTGAATTGCAGTTATTTTAAAAAAATTGTTTACTTAGATTTCATCTTGCAAAAATCTTTAGCCTGATTGACTCACAGCTTGGCTTGACTCTACTTGAATATCTATTTCATACACTAATTTTAAATACCTATTTACATTTTTAAATGTAACAGAGAACACAGTTCATACAAACTAGATAGCTTGATGTAGTGATGTGAGAATGGCATTGTTTAATTCATAGCTAGTAAATAAGACAACTTTAAACTCAAATCCCCAGTGATCCAATCTCAGTTTTTGATGTCAGGAAAAATAGTAAGTTTCAACTTTTCCTCAGGTTGTACTTGATTTTGGCTTAACTAGGGAGCAAAATTCTAAGGCATGAAGCAATTAGGCAACCATCTCTTGTTTATGCCATCTCTGCAGTATGAATTTTTAATGCCAAGATTTTCACTAAGAGTTGCAATATTTATCACCAGAGTTGTGTGTGATGCTTAAATCATCCCTTATAAGCTATTTTACTTTACAGAGAAAACAAATTTATTTTAGCTATAAAAATGTCCTTTTGTAACTAGATGAATCTCAGATTCATGCCTAGAATTTGCTTTCTGAGGGCTTTGGTAGGCAAAGCTCTATGTGTGTGCATTCACAAAAAGCTAATAAAGCCTAGATAAAAATGTCAGAAAGCAAAATTCATAAAAAGTTAGGAAGACTCTTTTGTCACACTAGTATCAGTGTGGAGTACAGAATTGAAAAACTTCCCAGTAGTAAAACATGCAGTTCCTTGTAAAAAGTTGTCCAGAAATGACCGACATGTTTGGAGTAAGTAAAATTAGAAAACTGAGATCTGAAGAATTGATTTCTAGCCCACATGTATTCCTCAGAGGAAAGTTGTAGACCAGGCCTTACTGAAGATTTTATGATAAGTAATATTTTTTAATACACATTTTTGTGGTCTAATCTTCACCCTCTTCATCATCAAGCTTCCTTTATCAGGTTTTTCTCTAGTTTTCTGCTTTGCCTTTTTTTTTTTTCTTTTATTTTTTTTTTCCCCTCTTTATGACCATCAGAGCCCTTCCTTAGCATGTGGAACAAGCCTGAACAGATCCTATGAAGCTAAAAAAGAAAGTGCCTTGGATAAGTTTTAAACTGAGACATGCTGTAATAAGTGGTAGTATACTTTCTGTCTCCAGCCTGCAAGTGATTCCTCTTCCTTCTGAGGCAGCTACCTTGGAGCCTGTCACAGCAGTTAACTGTTGTTCAGCATTGAATTGTCCCATGCCAGTGAAGCATTTCTTCTTTGATGACGTGACATTCATTCAAAGCTGTTCAAACAGGCCCTCGACTATTCAGGTTGATTTTTTTTTTTTTTCCATTTCAGTCTTTGTTGTGTAGGACTAGAGGTGAAAGAAGATCCTGAGGAATTTTACAAGAATTTTCTTCCTTCAGCTGTAGACAACCTGCTGTTTTTGGCAAGACGCTTGCAAGCACGATTTATCCGAGCAATCAAGGTATTTAGATTTCATAGTGAAAGGGCAGAGAATCTCTATAAACTTTCCAAGGTTACATGTTGTATAAATAGATTATTATTCTAGGGACACTGTATTATGAAAATTTATTTTCCAGACATTACAGTAGTTTTTCTTATGCCTTGGAGCTTTGAAACTGAAATCTGTCATTGTGGAGCATTTGGTCTATTACATGTGCAAAGATAGTTTGTTACCACAGGTTTGTTCAGAGTTTGGCTACTACTTGTCACAAGGTTTAAAGGTAAGGGGAAGGAAAGCAATTGTAAGTAAAACAGAAGAATTAGAGCAGTATGATATATGACAGGAAAAAAAAAAAGCTTTACAAAAGGCAGCATCCCAGTCATGGTAGTGTCTTTTAAACTTTGCGTATAATTGGTTCAGTCTTTGTAACAGCTCTGTTCCCACTGCTTTGTTCAGCTTTACAAAAAAGATTTAGGAAATCTTAAGATTTTAAATCAGATTTGTTGAAGTTTGTTTTGCTGTACAATTTCTGACATAAAATTGGCAAACAATTCCAAAAATGCTCACTGCTTCTGAACTTAGATGTTGGGAACCCCAAAGGCAGACCTCGTAAAATTGCAGATTTGAACACTTTCTCACATTTCTCTCCTTCTTTGCAGAGAAGGCGGCCAGCTAGGTTCCCTCATGCTTTTGAAGCATTCTGCATTCCAGAATCAGTAGAGAAGAAAAAAACCCAACAAAACCAACCAAAAATGAAACCCATGAATAATTTAAATAACCAACCTCAGGGGTTCTGATTGTTTCTTTTAATATCCCCACTTTCCCACAGTACCTCATTTCTTCACTGGCTTCAAAGTTTTCCTATGGAGTGTTGTGATGGACACCACAAACACAATCAATTCTCAGCAAGTATCAGTAGAGTTACATATTTTCTGTTAGTTCAATACTTTAGAAGTGCCTGTAGTGCTTAAGAAGGGAGCTTCCTGAATGACATCCCAGGAGACTCGAGTCTTCTCCACAATATGTAATTTCCCCCACACTTTCTTATTATGTCTCAGCCTATATGCTACTTGAGTCATGCTTGTGGGCAAAGATTTCTTTTGAATGCAAATGCAGTCTACATTATAATTAGTACTTTGGCTTTTAAGCCTCATGGTCTGAGGTGACTGGGCACCCAGACTTGGTGCTTGCTCAGTGGAGCTTTGGAAATCCCACTCTACCAGTGGAGATTTGTAGTTTATTCTGCCCTCATTTGCGTTTTGTACAAGTCCTTGAAGTCTAGGGAAGTACTGAAATAGCTTTCAGAAACTGATGTATTGCCAAAGCACAGGACAGATAATGCTACAGCTTAACTTATTACTGCAATTTTGTATCTCTCATTGTCAGTAAAATACAAATACAATGTTAAAGCGTGACTAGAAGCTGGGACTTCTGGCAAAGATCTAGGAATAGGCTTTCCAGAGTTTCATTTGTGGAGGCTCAGTTAACGTGGGAGATATTAGGCCAAGTGCTTTATCATTTATCAGCAATGTAGCATTATCAAAAGCCCCTTTGCTATCCCCCACACCAAGGTTTTACATTTCCAGTGGCCTGTAGCTCACACCTGGAATACAGACTCTGAACTGGGCATCTGTAGGTGCATTCAAATGGTAAAATCTGGATTCTTCCTGGTCATTTTTTCCAGTCCAGTGTTATCACAGGCAAGCACATAAAAGTGTTTGGCAAACTGATCAAACTTCAGCTTAATAGTGGTTTGGTGTTTGCTCCCAGACCTCCCAGGTAGGAGGTGCTTCTGAAGCCTCGCCATGCCAGTTTTTAGGAACCTTTTACATTTTAACTGTGTCCTTGGCCACTTTGTACCCTTTTTCCTGTGCTTTAATCTTAAATAATATATTTCCCACTTTGTGGATTAAATCCATGATGCATTTGTACTGAGAAATTACTTGTTTTTCTAGCCCACCTATGGTATATATTTTTTTTTTCTAAGAAGTAAACAAGACTTGTTTCTCCCTGTTACGATTCTTTCAGGAATGGATGTTTTTTTAGTATGTTTAGATTTTTCTTGATTGATCTCTGACCTTCAAGGACTCACAAGTTGGGTTTTTTTGACTGGTTCCTACAGTTTCACCAACTTCAACTGGGAATTTGATGGAGTTTTGTTCTCCAAATTCGTGAAGCATACAAACATTCCCTCTACATCAAGCTGAAGTCCTCAGTAAAGATACATACACAAGCTTTTACCTACTTCTCTTTTGTTTAGGATGAAGATAAACAACATTTTTTACGCTGGTTCCAAACAGTAACTGATGCCATCTGCTGGCTGTTTGGTGGGCATATTCAGCTAGCAGCATGCGGTAAGGGAAAAGTAAACCCATAAAACACCTGAAAAGTCATTTATGACAACTACAGCTATCAAGAATCACTCTTATGCTAATCTCCACCTAGTTTTCTAAATCGGAGTAGATGTTAAATCAATCTCTTAAAGTATTTCACTCAACGGAAACAGCAATATCTAAAAGGGAAAGGATCTCCTAAAGGGAAATCTTTAAAGAGTTTCCCTTCTGCTCTTTCAGATACATATATCTTAAGTGTTTTCCTGTAATTTCCCTCTGTAATTCTGTACCTTTAAAAATTCAGGGTTTTTTTTCTGATAAGATACCGTTGATTTTTTTACCTCTGTCTGATTAACATATTCAGAAATTTGACCAGAGTGCATCGATGGCCCTGAAAGTGGATAGACTTGAAAACAGATTTCTGAAGTTTTTGCCATGCCAGGGAATTTTACAAATATCTAACCAAGCTTCACTATACATTTCTGATCAAAATAAGCTTTCAATTAAACCAGTGTTAATCAGATTTTAAAAAGCAGAATTTGGGTTTGTTTCTCATATAGGACAAACACATCTTATGATTCTTAGGTTTAACTAAAAAGACACACGGCCAGAAAAATTACTAAATATGTAGACAGTGACACAGTGGAATAAAAAAGATGGTGCTTTAATGACATCAGTGCACTTGCATTAAATAAACCTGGTGTATCAAGCTGTCAAGGTTGCAGTCCTTATCTTTTCCAGATATTGTTGCCCCAATGATAATTCAACTGTTATAATAAGAAACTGGCACTAGTGTAACATAAAAGGTTTTAAAGCTTTTGTTCCATTGCAACACCAGTGCCTGAGTGATATCCAAAGGCAGAAAAAACAGGGCTCAACATGTTTTTTGGATGTTGAAGTGGTTTACTTATTCCAGTAAGTTTCAGTGTAAAAATTATAAGAGAGGGAGTTTGTTCCAGAAACAGTATCTGGCTTTACTTGCTATGGCTTATGTTCCATAATGAAGTTTATTTGTTTTACAGTATTTTCAAGTCTGGTTCTGATTGCATGGTTTCTTATTTGCTTGGGTGTTTTTTTTTTTTTTTTTTTTCCCGCAGTTGTTAATAACAGATGATGTTGAAACAGCAATTATAATGATGTCTGTTTTACACAATATTGTGAGGGTCAATAGGTGAGTTGTTTTCATATCACTGATTTTTCTGAATTTTAAATTTAAAACTCAGTTTATTACTGCTTGATAAATGAGTACTTTTTCATTTACAAGAATTTGGGTTTTTTTCCTAGTCTTTGTTGTAGAAATAGAAAAAATAGGTATTTTCTTTATCTTATTAAATTGAGGGAATGGGAATCAGTTGACTGAAACAGTAGTGCTGCCTGGATCAGGTTGCTGGTCCAGCTAGCTGGGTGTGTTGGCATGCTGAATGCCTGACATATCTAAAAATCTCATAGTTGGCAATTAACATTTCAATTCTGTATGTCGTGTCCCCCCCCTTTTTTTTTTTTTTTCCTTTCTTCTTAAAGTTCTGTCTTGCTTCAGGTTGATGAAGAGACTCTTCACTCTGTTTTGGATGAACTCGTTTATAAGCTCTCATCTACCAGCAATCCTGTCATAGGAAATGCTGCTGCAAAACTGCTATTGTTGGTAGCAAAATTTTGCAAGCAGCTTGGGAAGTTGCTCACTGCTCGCTACAAAGGTTTGTAAACATGCATGAGACCAATCACTTGGCCTCCTCTTACACTCACTGTAAAAATACAGAGATGGAGATTTCTCATCTTGGTTCAGTAACTATTCAATATAGATGGAAACTGCAGCGCTGTTTTGTGGGTGTTTTTTCCTTCTCCACTGTTCATTTTCACTGTAATTTAAGGTGCTATGACTCTTTCTGTTTCCTAGTTTTATTTTCTTCTGTGTATTGAGGACTCTGCATGTGGCAGCTTGTCTCTTAAAGCTGTTCTTTGTCACTTCTGACCTGATGGGCTTTACTTCTTTCTGTGTGATGCTCTGCATCTTTTTTCCCATGCAGGTCAAATACTGAGAGATCCTAGTAGCAGGGTGCATGTACTGCCACGGTAGGACCCGTGAGTCGGATCTCTCACAGCATGCTAAGGCTCACTAGTCCAGAAGCAGGAAAGTTTTACCTAAAGCCAACTTCCTACCCTGGCTGTTACAGGTCTGCTTAGCTGATAGGTGCTGTTCGGTTACTGAGGAGCTGACCATCTTCTGATATCTGAGTGACTGGAACTAACTCTTTCCAAGACTTCATGAAATGAATTTATCGCTTTGTCTTTGTGCCTTTAGATGAGGAGGCTGAGTATGCATATAATTCCCTTTATGTTATTCATTATTTAATGAGGTCTCCCATTTAATGTTTCTGTCTCTAGCCTAGCAGGGAGCTCCAGGAAACCCCTTTGTCCTCGGTCATGCCCATGGAGACTAAGAAAGCAGCTTTGATGTTTGCCAGCTCTTTTATATTCTAGATGTTATTGATGGTCAAAACTACTTGTGAGCAGCCTCAGTCCTTTGGGGACAAGGACAGTTAAGAAGTGGTTGTGCTAGACAAAAAGGTCCAATTCCCCTTTTTTATGCTTGTGCTGACTACTTACTAGGCAGTACCAGCCAGATAAACTTCTGGACCAGATGGGCAGCTTTGCCACCCAGTTGCCTACAGAATTGAGAGAGGAGGGCTTCCTTTTGGTGTGAATTTGAATATAAAGTGCCTAAGGCTGATGCCTTGTTGTGGATTCTTGTGAACAAGTTGCTGTTATGGCCTGATCATCCCAGCTGTAGAATGCTGGCTTGTCTGAAGAGGTGCAAGTTTCCATCAAAGGATTGTGCTTTATTTTGCTTTGGAATCACAATATGGAACAGTCATTTAGAGACTCTTCATCTCTCTTCTGTACACATTTCTTGTTTCCACTAAGGAAAAAGAAAAATTTTTTTAAAGTTAGAATCCTTATGTTAGTTTTCACTCAGGCTTTGGAATCCTTTTGATGGTTTGAGGAGCAGCAGCAACAAAGAAAGCATTACAGCATCTCCACCATCTGGCCATCTCATTTAAGTAGCTTGGTTTCACAGTGGCTCGGAGCTGCTGCCAGGATGAGGTACTTCAGTGTAAGCTTTCTGTCAGAAAAGGCAGCCTGCCGGAGGCAGGCGCATCACCTGAACCTCCACCACTAGCACAGTCTTGACATCAGGTTTCCATGAGGGCCTGGTCATTGTCTGCATGGGTTGATGCATCCGAGAGGCGCTTCAGGTACTCTCTGTCAGCAGCTGAAAGGTGCCCGTGGCTGTATAGTTTCTACAGAAACTGGCAGGTGGTTGCGTCAGACCCACAGGACTTCTGTGAGGGAACTGCCTTGTGCAGCCGGGCTGCGTGTTTTTGTGGAGCTGAGGCAGCTTTAGGGCACCCACTGACTCCATTTTTGTCTCTTCTGAAGTGTTTAACTGTCATCGTCTTCAAAATAGTGCATGTGTGATAGAACAAAGGTGCCATTTCCGTTTGAAGGACATTGTGCTCCACGTCCAGATCCTGTATGTGTGAGTGGTGGAGTTGCTCAGCATATGAATATGCTTATGAACGATTGGAAAATTAAGTTACTTGAATCTGCAGTTTTTCAGGAGGCTATCCAAACACTTCCTGCCCTCCTTCCTTTTCCCTCCAACGCCCCGAGAAACTCTCAGGCTCTGGGCTTTGCATGACACAAAGCTAAAAAGCATGTGTTACTGTCTACTTGTGTCCTGTGCACAGCACAGGGACTGTCTGCGTGTTGTGGGGGGAGCACAGCTGTGCTTTTTAGCTACTGCGAACCTAAAAAGGTGTTTTGTCTCAGGGACTGGATGCACGTGTACTCACAGTTAGACTATGAATACAGATAAGACATCAAAGAATTCCAGTTATAAATAAATAAATTTTCTTATGAAAAATACGAAAGCAGTGCTAATAAAACCTAGCATCTGCATAGTGCTTTACATCCTTTTAGCACCTTACAGTGCCTTCCTGATGCGACACTGAAAGTACATTGATAATTTAACTGCCAGTTATGTAGACACAATAGATAGTGGTTTGGACATACAAAATTACAGTCACTGTATAGTACTTCTCTGTGATGGTTGGAGCACCAGATATTTTTTGATGATCTTCTGCATTGAAACTTAAAGATGACTGATGGTGTTCCGCTCTATTGTTCCTTTGCACATAGAATCAGATTTGATTTTTTGAATTGTAAATTGTTAGCTTCAGATCTTGAAAAGAAAAAACACTTTAGTGGTATCACATGCTTCTTTTTTCTCTCTTAGGGTTAAAAGGGCTTTTAAGCAAACAGTGGGCTGGCAAAGGATTTGACAGGGATCTCAGTCAACTCTTGGACTTGCTGTACTTGGAACAATCCACTGGAAAAGGAGAAATGCAGGTGCTGAAGTTTAATGAGACTTCTGTATGTGAAATCCTAGTCACATGTGATTTATATATGTTTAGAATGGATTTACTCTATCACTGTGGTGATGCTTTTCAAAGCCTGTATTATTTTTTCACTATATTAATGGATTTTAAAATTTACTTTTTTTTTTTTTTCATTCTTAATTTTTGAAGACATAAGGAATTGTCCAGTGATTAAGGTATGGGACCGTCACTTGAGAGAGTGACTTTCTGTTGCAGATTCACCATGGATTTGTATACAACTGTAGGGGGAAAAAAAATTGTTTTGCTAACTGTAAAGCAAAAATAACTGTATCTGCTTTTCTCCCATCAGTGTTACAAATTTAGGTTTCTGAATTCTAGACAGTATTCACATAGAATTAAGTCATATAGAGAAAATGTTCAGTACGAGCACCTTCTGGGCTGTGTTCCCAATAAAAGAGACGATGTGTGTTTTATGAACTTCTTCACAAAATTTTACATGCATGTTTCTCAGAGACAGTACTTTAAAGGAAATCAAAGTTATGTTTGTAGAGACCTGCTGTCACCATCAACAGAGCAGGGTGTTTTGTGTGGGGAGTTGTTTTTTTTTTAAATCCATTTAAGTATAGAATTGATGGGGTTTTTTGCCATGTTGTTGCACTTCGTTTACTTCTGATCATACTGCAAATGTACCATTTCTCATGCTGCTAATTCTCCAAGCTTATCTTTCTGTCCTCTCTAGTGTAGGTATTTTGATTGAATCCCTGTTTGAAATACTAAGTTCTTCAGATATTTCAAATACAAATTTCTAACATTGATTAATGCAGCTAATATATATTTTATATTTGTGCTGTAGATTCATTCATTTACCTCAGAGAGCATCAATCCAGATGATCAGATTATCTGCCTTTAGAGCAAGTACAGGGTTCATGATAATAACGGTCTTGTAACAGCTTGGGGAATTTAAGGTTTTATAAATACAGAATTTTGATGCATTTGAAAACTGATGGGTTTTGGCCAAATGTTGAGATTGTTCCAAATGTGCAAGCAGTAATAAGGTGTTTTTATATGCAGAGAAAATATTCTACCAACTGCTTTTTTAATTTCAGAGGCAGCATCAAGCAGCCTGTATAATCCAGGCTGTGTGGAGGGGATTTCAGACGAGGAAAAGGCTGAAAAAACTACCTCAAGCAGTGACTGCGTTACAGAGAAGCTTCAGGTAAACAGTATGGCTTTGTAAAAAGCACTAAAGAGAAGAATCTAGTAAGAAGGTTTGGTTTGGTTTGGTTTGGTTTTTCTCGGGTCACAGAGTGACAGGAAAAATTCAGGTGATCTAATCTAATGTCCTGTTTGAAGTAGGACCAGCCTCAAAATGGGATCTTGCAGCTCAGGGCTGTATCCAGTTCTGGAGGCCTCCAAGGATGGAGATCCCACCATCTCACTTGGTCCCTGTCCTGGTGCCAAATGACTTGCCTTGTGAAGAATCCTTCCATTACAGCCAGTGGGAATTTCCTTGTTGCAACTCTTTACCACTGCCTCATGTCCTTTTCCTGTGCACCTCTAAGATCCTGGCTCTGTCTTCTCTGTAACACCGCCTTTAGGGAGTGTAAGACAGAAATCGATTTCCCATCACCTGTCCTTGTATATCAAACATTCCATAGCCCTCACTGTCTTTCTCTGGACAGTCTCTATCCCTCCAGTTTGTCAATATCTGTTCTACTGGGGGCCCAGTAGAGTGTGGCCAGTATTCCAGGTATGCCCTAAAGAGTGCCGAGTAAACTGAAATAACAGTCGTCTTTTTGTTGCTGCCTCTGCTATTGCTAGTGCAGCCTTCGTTACTGCAAGGACATGCTGATGGCTTGTGTTTGACTTGTCACCCACCAGGATACCCAGGTCCTTTTTGTTGGAGCTGCTGTCCAGGTAGTCAGTGCCCAACCTGTACTGGTCCATGAGGTTATCTTGTACCAGGTGTAGAGCTTCCTGTTTGAACTTCATGTGGCTTCTGTTCATAGAGTCACAGAATCATTCAGGCTGGAAAAGACCCTTGGGATTATCCAGTCCAACCATCAGACCTACTCTACAAAGTTCTCCCCTACACCATATCCCCCAGCATTTAATCTAAATGACCCTTAAACACATCCAGGGATGGTGACTCCACCACCTCTCTGGGCAGCCTATTCCACTGTCTGACCACTCTTTCTGTGAAAATTTTTTTCCTGATGTCCAGTCTAAACCTCCCCTGTTGGAGTTTAAAGCCATTCCCCCTTGTTCTGTCACTTATCACCTGTGAGAAGAGATCAGCACCAACCTCTCTACAATGTCCTTTTAGGTAGATGTAGAGAGTGATGAGGTCTCCCTTCAGTCTTCTCTTCCTCAAACTGAACAGTCCCAGCTCCCTCAATCTCTCCTCATAGGATTTGTTCTTCAGGCCCTTCACCAGCTTCGTTGCCCTCCTCTGCACTCGCTCCAGTACCTCGATATCCCTCTCATTGTGTTGACCCATTTTCTGTGTTTGTGGAGGTTCCTCTGAGTGCCAGCTCTGCCCTGCATGGGAGACTGTGTTGGCAGTCTTGATAAAGCCAAAAAAAGTGACATCCACTTGTTCTCCCCTCATCCACAGAGCCAGCCGTCCCATCACAGAAGGCATCAGGCTGGTCAAACAATTTGCTTGTGATAAATCTATGCTGGCTATTCCCATTCACCTTCCTGTCCTTCCTGGAAATAACTTCCCTGAGGATTTGTTCCCATGTCTCAGGGCTTAAGTTTGGGCTAACCAAGAGTTCCTTCATCTTGAAGATGCCTTTTTCCAGTCAGCTGTTATTTCTGAAACATAAAGGTAATGTAATGCCAATATGAGCTGTTTCACTACAGATTCTTTTAGCAGAAACATCCAAACAATGTGCTTTTCCAGCAGTACCAAACCGCCGCTTCTGGTGCCAAAAGCGCCAACTGTCCCTTTCCCAGCTGCCAAATTTCTCCATGAAAAAACTTAATTCTATGATGCTTTATGTTTTCTGTGTAAAAATTTATGGCATATGGAAAACTAAAAGCATGGGATTGCACTAAATAGCACTACAAGACGATGGACTGTTGGTAGAAAGGTTACCTGGTTCACAGTTAACTTGACACAAAATTCCATCGTAAATTGAATGTGGAGCTGTCTTGGGGTTTTCAATCTGTCATGCTGGAGTGCTGCAGAAACCAAGGCCCATAGTGCTTGTGCAGTATAGTGCTTGCAAGACCCTGTTCTTCATTAATATTTGAAATCTTTGACTCTCAGAAGTGAGGTCTCTTCAGTGAGCTAGAAATAGTATCCTCTGACTTGGAGTACCACAGAAGAATAAAGCTATGTAAATAATGCCTATCTTTCTTACTTGTTGTAGGATTTCAGCAGTAATATTAGCATCTGTTAGGCGAACTCTTATGAGAAGTGTCGTGTGAATTTAATGTAGATTAAGGGATCTAAATCAAGTTCAGACTCCACAGCAGGTTTTTTTCAACCCTTTTTTGCATGAGTTGAGCACTACCATGTAAAAACTAGATTTTGGAAATCAATTAGTCAAACAATGTTGCATTATGATCAAGATGTTAGAAAGCAGACAGTTATGATTTGTCATCTAGACTGGCATTAAGAAGATACTGGACTATCTAGGGTGTAATCTTTAAATTCTGGAAGATTTTCAGGGGCAAGCATTGGGTCTATTGAGGGCCACTAACCACTCTAGCTTTTGTACTGAAACACCAAGAACTGACATCCTTGTCACTCCTTTTTACTCCACCATACGCTCTGAGCCAATATTCCTGCCCTCATCAGGCACCTTGCAAGCCAAAATCATAGTCCAGAAAACTTGGATGGTGGGCTAAGACAATGTGGTAAAGCAGAAGGGAAAGGGTGGCTAGGCTATTTGCAATCAACAAGCTACTTGACTTTCTTGTGTCATATTTTAGTATTGTAAGTGTGTGTGCCTCTTAAGTAGTTTTTGAGTCATTTGAATTGATTTTTAAATGTGTTTGTTTCATATTGAGAGGAATGGAACTGTATTAGTATCCTTACAGTTGTGTGTTCATGGCTCAGTCAGTCCTGATGTACTGAGTAAATACAGTGCAGCTCCAGTGTTGTTTTTTTCTGTCAAGGTCAAAGCTGCAGTTAGTGTTGTGCTGAAAAATAGTGTTTGCAGTACTGTAAGCATGACTTTAGAAAAGCTTTCAAGAGGAGTTTTCATTTTTAACAGTCAGGGTTTGGTTACATTTTCAGATTTATTTTAGAACAAGTGTGGCTAAATACTGCTGAGGTTGAAACTCCAAACTTGGCTCACCTGCAGCTGCAGTGGAAGATCTTAGACTCTGCAAGTTATAAACTTCTGAAACTCTGTGGTTTCAGAAATATCTCCTCAGTGAATATTAAAGCCTGTATTCTCTCCTTGAAGTTAGTTCAGTGTTACATAGCTAATTGTAGAATGGATTTTCATTAATCATGCTGATCTCTGCCATGAACTGCTGAAGGGAGACTTGGATCTCACTCTGTGTCTGCTTTGCTTCTGTTCAGAGCTATTTCCCTGTCACAGTGTGTTGTGTGCACACAAACACATCTTATCATTAGGAGGAACAGAGAATGAAGAGGAGCATGTGTTTTGCAGACTACACGTGAAAGAATTAGTATCAAAGAAACATTTAAATACCTGACAGACACTATTGGTAGTTTCACAGATGCACATCTGAGAAGTTCATGAAGTGTTCTTGTAGTTTTCCACCTAGTGGAGCTGATAAACATTTCTAGGGAAAATTATTAATAGTTTTATCAAGAAAATGTCATCAAAAGTCCCGTTTGATCCTGTGACATCTTTCCACTTAGAAGTATAATATGTACCTGCCTGGATTAAAAATGCAAATATTTACAGTTCTAATTTGCAGAAATGTCTGGGCTGAAAACCTCCAGTTTCCTTGAGACCATTCTGATGTAATCACATACATTATGATCTGTCTCTGTAGGTAGAGGTATGGGCACCCTTCAACTCTGCATTGCTGTCATTAAAGGGTTATGGTCTCTCAGACCATAGTGGAGGCTGTTTTATCATTTAAGGGCAGATCCTTAAACCCAGAGCATCTCTTTTACAAAGTAGCTTCCATCCCATCTTTCCCTACCAGGTTACAGAGACAGAAGAAAAAGTATGGTTGGTGGAAAAATTAAAGCTTAATTTATACTAGTGATGGGAAACACACGGATCCTCAGTAGTAGTGTCAGTCTAAAGGTATATGACCTGTAGCAGTACCAAAATTGCTGGACATTAGTTCTAGTCTACAGCCTTTTTTTTCTCCATTCTGGCACCCGTTATGCCTGTGCTCTGTCCATTTGTTCTCTTCCCTAGTGCTTGAGGTCTCCTTCCACTGTCCCTGGAACAGCGCTAGAGGAGAGCAGAACTCAGAGCTGTAGGCCCAGTGCACGGGCAACAGATTTTGTTGCAAGAGAAGAGAAAGAGTCACATCATTACCTCATTGCAGGCTGAACTCTTAAAGTCTCAAACATTAAGCTGCTAATGAGATCTGGTCCTTTGGGATGAGAAGGGGTAGTGAAGGGGGGAGGAGCCCTAGCTCACTGCTCCTCATGCTTCACTGACACTATTTCCAAGTGGTTTTGTTTTTTATGAGTATCTACACATCAGTATATTTAGCACTAATATATTAACATCTATGTTAATGTGTTAGTGTATCTATAATTGATATACAGGCTATCATTAAACACTGCAGGGCCAGTTACAGAGTGATCAGTTGTCTCATCTGTGAAACATCTGCTGGGGCTTTTCCAACACCAAGCACAGTGGGGTAACATCCTAACGTCAAATTACTACTAGTACAGATTGGGAGGAATTTGCAAGAAAATTATTTCCTAGTGTTCTATAACGAAGTGGATGGAGAAAATGTGTCAGTCTGTATTTCCCGGAGAAAAAAAAATCCCTCCAAATTTAAGAAGTGAGCCTTAACAGCCAACACTCTGATCTACTCTTGTATAAAATTAATATTAGGGAATAGTAATATAGCAAGTGGGTGCCATGCATGCTGATGGAGCAATGGAAAAGGTGCATGCTGGAGCAGATGGATAATGTTACTTTACCTCTTTCCCTGATGGTCTAGTTCATGCTAGCTGGGAATGTCCCACATGGAGTATCATTCCCTTCAGGGTCCTCAGAACTTTATCCTAAGGAAAAATATATCCTTTGATTTGATACAGATTGAGTGACTGGCTCAGAATTTTTCGTGGCTACAGATGGTGTGGTAATTTGTTAGCTTGCAGGTGGTTTCTTGTTGCTTGGTGTGGTCCTGCTGCCAACAGCTGTGATGGCAGATTATTTTGTGGATTTCCTCCCCTGATTCTGGACCATTGAACACAAAACAAAGAGAGATGCTTTTTAAGAAATCTACAATTTAAGCTAATTGTTAATGTATTTGTATATTGCAGAGCTAAACGGGAACAGGAGCTGCAGCATTTAAAAAAACAGAAAGAAGATGAGGCTCTAAAACTGCAAATGCAACTTCGGAGACAGAGGGCTATGAGACTCTTCCATGAACGGCAGCTGGCCTCGCTGGAAATAATCCATGCCAGTATGATTTATATTAAACTATGTCAGACAATTAAACTGTCTGGCTCTCCTTAAGAACAGTTTCCCCAAATATATTTCCTATTTTTGCATGTCTGTGCACTGTAGTGTTATTGTCTCTTCTCCTGACCCAATTATCTGACAGAGAACGTGCTGATTCTACAGGGGCTCAGTAACTGCTGATCAATATCTGCTGCCTTCAGCATGGTGCAGGAGAAAGGGAGACACAGTCGTCTCATGTTACAAAGCTCCATTGAGAGATGGCCCACAGCTAGCGGACCTTGGGTGAAGAGGGGTTTTTATAATAACTGATAACACCCAAGCTTTTTTGGTACTATCTAGTTTGAGGATTAAAAATGTAAATTGTTAAGAGATCCCAACCCACAGTCTTATAACTGGATTTTTGTTACATTTTTAGGTCAAGTAAGTAAGTACATGGAGGAAATGGAAGGGAGATCAGCATTAACTATCCAGAGATTCTGGCGAGGGTATAGAGCAAGAAGGAGTTTTCACCAACAGAGACAATCTCTTAAGGAGTATAAAGCAGCTGTCATCATTCAGAGAGCAGTAAGTATGTGTTTTGTTCTAACATTAGGTAGGACTGAGTGGATTATTTCAAAGCCTCAAAAAGCTCTCTTTATTCCCTTAGTGTTGATGTAGGCATAATTTACTAAAAAATTATTCAGAGGGTGATAGTCTAGAGCCACACGTTGCTTAGATGGGTTAGACCTTGTCTAGGTTACAAAGCTTAATGCAGTTTTGTAACTAAAATATAAGACCTGCCACTGCCACTTTGAAACCTGAGGTTGGAATTTGACTGCAGTACAGATGAGTCAGTAATTTATTATGAGTGTTCTTACTTACTATTTAGTATTCATGGTGACCGTTGTATGCTGTCTTTTTAGCATCATAGCTAAATTTATGCTTTAACAGATGCAGTACTGAAACATTTTCCTTTTGTTGATTGATTACAAACAAAGCAAGAAGACAAACTTCCTGCCTGTGATTGTCATATTCTCATATGTTCTTTACAAAGGCTTGTAAATTCTTGGAAAAACGAAGAAGGAGGAGACCTCTCTCTCCTTGGAAAGATCCCAAGGGACTGACTGATGAGCAGAGGCTAGCTTTGCAGCAGAAGGTGGATGACTACATCAAATTGCATCCGGTCTGTTTCTTAGTCATTTCATAATTTGCATTAATGATGCCACATAAAATACTGTAGGGATGAAATATATTCAGCTTCATAACTTCTGATCAAGATAATGCATGTGAGGTATGTGTATATTAACCCTGCTTGCTTGACAGCAAGGCACTAGGATATTGGGGATTTTATCCATTAATCTAATAAAAAGGATCAAAGCAAACTGTAATTGGAAAATTTATATACTTGATGATGGATAGCTTTGCAGAGAGCTGCAGAGGAAGCAAAATTATTAAGTTAACAATTAAGAACAGTATTTGCATTCCTTGTTTAGACATTATTCTGCCCCCATAAGATTTAAAATAAGCAGTTCCTAATGGTAATAAATAGTTATTTTCCTCCAGGCTTCCGAAATGTCAGAAGAAATGAGTAAAGAATTACATATGCAGGCCCAGGAAAAACTGGCACAGTTCCTGTTGAGGAGCAGACTGGATCAGAGAGCAGCGCAAAGGAGAGAGACGTTACTGGCTCAGGTCAACACTGATGTGGAGCTGCTAATGAGTATGTGACTTCTCTGGTCATAGTTTTGATTACTGTTTGAATTAAACTCATTTAGAGTGAAAATTAGAGGGAACAGTGGTAAAGCCTCATTTCAAAACTGAAGTATCTTTCTTCCTTTGTTCTGTGCCTTATCTTGAGATCAGGCTTTGTCAGAGATTACCCAGGTGTTGCTATAGGTTAAGGATATACACTGGCTTTTCAAGGAGCAGCTTATTCTTCTGCTACAAGTGTCTCTGATGTGTTCACAAGGAGACCAATGGCCCTGTAAAAGGCATTACAATTTCTAAGAAGGCAATCTCATGCAATCTCTTTCTCTACATTTGTTTTGCTTTGTTTCGTTCTCTTGTGTTGTAAGCAAGCTGCTGGTTGAAGCACTCTCGCCTCTTTCAGATAAAAAGGGAAATCTTTGAGCTATGGATTCCAAGTCATGTTTGGATTTTCTCTGGCCCGACTTTATTTGAGACAGAATTCACTGTTGTGCTATCTGAATTCCAGACAAATATCCTGGAGTGAAAGAGCAAGAATAGCAAACTGCAGCCACCAGAGAGCACCCAAGCCGGACAAAATTCAGCAAGTTACTGAATTCCATTATTTAGTCTGTCACATGCTGTGTCACTGCAGCTCATCACTCCCTGAACAGGCAAATCAGCAACACGCTCTTACTCTGACCGTGCTGGGTCCCCCAGGCAGGGAATACGCAGCGCTGCTGCGCCAGAGCGGTGGGAACAACTGCGCTGACGTCACCCTGCGCCGGGAGCGCAGATCCAACAGTTGCAACCAGGAGCTCCTCTTCCTCTTAGGTCATAGGTTCACAAGAAGTCATTTCGGTGGATGCCACCACTGCACCTGAATGAAGTAGTCCTGCTTCCCCCTCTTCTTCTCCCTCCCCCATTAAGTATTTATTTTTTCAGGTTAGCCGTAATTTGGATCGCTTCTCCAGTCAGGTTTATCATGCAGCCATAAAATTGTAATGCCAGCATGGGGAAAGGAGTGACCTTAGACAGTGAGAAGTGGGAGGGTAATGCTCTTTCTTTTTTTGTTTGAAATACTCATAAAACTGCAAACAAAATACAGAGAACTCTTCTTGTTATTACAGATGCTCCAGGGTTAGCAGAGACCACAGAAAAAGATCTTGATGTCTTTATGAGTCGATCAGTCCCTGTAGCTACCAAGGCAAGACAATCCCACCACACTATGCTGAAATCTTCTCGCTGGCCATGGTGGAAGAAGCTTGGAGATGAGTTTATGGAGGATGATGTCATTCCTGATGATGCCCTCAATGCAGAACTGGGAACTCTATTTGTTGGTGGAAGGAAATCCTTTTAGGTAACAGGCAGAAGAATTTCTTACTTGGACTCATACCTTGAACCATGCATTCTCTTGCATGTGTTTTTAAGGAAGTAAAACACTTGACTTGTAAGAAAAAGCACTGAAAAAGACCAAAGTCTTATTTTAGTGCATTTTACTTAATAATATTTTCTGTACATCAACAGTTAGATCCTATTGATTGTGCTGTTGCAAATAGGATTTAAATACTGTAGTTGTAAATGAGAATATTTTGTAATTTGTATCACTTTAAAAGTAAGTTCATAACTTCTGGATTTTCAGTTCTTATTCACGCTCGGATGTGTAAGACTCACACCCCTGTAAAAGCCTGGGCTTTTATAGCAAAACTTTTTATCAGGTGATGTGCTTTGAGGTAAAGATGAGTTCAGAACAAACCAAAACACCACTAAGAAGTCAAGCAGGGACTGGGCAGGCTGGGTGCTTATGGCAGGGTAGAACAGCTCACTCCAGTCAACACAGGCAAAGCTTGGCCTGAGGAACCTCCACCAGCTTCTTGATTGCAACAAGGGAAAAATCAAGGGGAGGAAAAAAATATCAATATTCTTGGAATACGTGTTTTCCTTTAAAAGCATGCAGTTCTTTCCACAGCCGATGCAATGCGTTGTCACATGGGCTCAGTCTAAACTGTTATATGGGATTGTAGCCCCAGTGTGACCATCTGGACCATCAGCTCTGTTTTCTTAAACTACACAGATGCTGCTTAATCCAGAAAGGTCTCCAGCACAGGGCCTCTGCAATCACTGCAACCCAGTACACAGTCAAAACCTGCAGTCAAGGGCCGAAGGCTGCTGCTTACTGATGTGCCCAGAAAGCAGGGAGAACGCAAGGCTGCAGCTAGTGCCGTAGATGCCTGTGCTATTTTTTAGGTGAGAGGCCCAAAGACTCTTAAGAATTTGATCTTGTCTCACTGCAGAGGAGGAACAAGTGCAGTGATTTCTGCCAGTTGTATGTGGGCATCAATACTAGTTCAGCATGTTTGTTTGTCTAGAAGGTTTTAAGTTTTAATTTTAGTGGAGATGAATGGAAAACAAATAAATAGAAATAGTGGGCAGAAGCCCAAGCCCATTCAGATGCAGCTGATACATTGAAATTAATAACTGGACAGCTGCCAAGAGGAAGAGCTGTGCTCTATGTTATTTTTTTTAACAGAGCTGTGATTTGGAAGGCATTGAATTGGCTCTCAGTTCCTTTCCTGGAGAGTTAACTGGTGGAACAATCCATTAAAGTACTTGCCAGGGCACTTGGATGTGTCTGTTGAGTTACATATTATTCTGCACAGCTCTGCTGTTAGTTTTAGGCCCGTAACAAGGCCGGTGCCCTACAACCACCAGAGCGGAGGGGCTGGGGAGCAGTGACCAAGCACCCGGGGGGATGGAAGCTACCCCCCAGCAACCACCAAGTTCTGGCACTGGAAGAGGCCCAGTGTCTCTGGATAGACTGCAGCAAGCCAGCTGCTCCTTGCAGATACCCAAGTCCTCTGTGTGCATCATAGTCCCCTTGGCCATGCAGCCACTGACCCAAACTATTTTGAGACAGCAGCCTCTGCTGTTATGTTTATTCCTAATCACCCTCGTTATAATAGCTTTGTTCACAAAGGTGCTTTGCTTAATGTATTTTATGGATAGAGATGAGCCCCCCTGGCCAGTGTTAAATATCAAGTGCCATTTTAGCAAAATACCATTTTAGCAAAAAGCCCTTTATTGTAATGGCCTCTGCCACTCACTGCCATTGGAGTGGATAATGAACTCCCCCTTTGGAATATGCAGTTTGCTGGATAATGGGGGTTTTTAAGTGAACAGAGAGCCTGGTGGGAAGTGCAGTCTTGCTGGAGGAATTTGAGTTGCTGAGTTGTTTATTACCAGTTCATCAGCACAAATTCTCCCCGTACCACCACTGCCCTGGTAAATAAAAATGCCTCTTCTTTCTTTGGTGACAAGCACACAAAGTGATCTCCCTCATCTCCATTTTACAGACCAGGGAAACCAAGGCAAGAGAGCCATGAGGGAATGTGCCTATGGCCATCTATAGCACTATAACCTGTCACTTGTTTCCGTTGCTGTCCCAGGCAGAGCAAGTCAGAAAGGAGCTGCTGCAGCATGCCAGGGCGGAGCTGGGAAATGCTCTGGGATGCCAGCTGCTGTGGCCAGCTTGGAGCCTGGGCCCTCCAAAAGAGACCCCCGAGCTCCCATGCTGCCCTTCTTTGTTCATGGGTGGGAGGAATTTGGCATGGTTTGACTCATCCTCCTTTCAGGTTCTCCTGCGCAACATGCAGGATATGCTGGTGATTTATTTCACTGCAGCTCCATCTGGGATTAAATACTCCTGCCTGAACAATGGGGACAGATGTAGACAGTTGAACAGAAACCACCTCCAGCCTTCTATCAGGTGAACAGTCCTGTCTGGGTTACATGATCACCCAAAAAAAGGCTGTAGGAGAGGCTCTAAACTGAGATGGGTTCAGTCCTGCTCCCACTTGTCTGCTTGCCACAGGCACACTCATAAAGCTGGGCCCTCTTACATAAACATGTTGCACAGGTGGTCCAGCCACATAGTACACGGGGCAGAATTTGGTCGTGCCCAGCAGGTCTGGGCTGCACCACTTTGGAGAGCGAGCAGGCCCGCCCCGGCAGCCTGGAGACAGACCCAGCTCACCAGGGAAGCATGGGGTGCCCTCCCCCAGCGGTGGAGTGACAAACCCGGGGGGCACGCTGTGACGTGAGGAGGGGCAGAGGTGAAGTGAAGGCAGCGGAGCCCGGGTCATTAAATATTGACGCTGTCTAAGCTGGCCTGTGGGGGCGATTTAGCTGAATTGCAGGTTTCTGTTGCCGTGATAAATTGGACCTATTTGTCATGTGGTTTTGTTTCTTCCCTCCCTTAAGTAAAGCTGTACAGGAGCATTACTGCTACAGCTTCAGCAGCAGCAAACAATCTGGAAAGCAAAATCCTCTGATGGATGTGGATAAAAAAGAAGGGACAGTGACTGTTCTTCTGCTGAAGGTGCCACCAGAGTCATGGAGAAGAAAGAAGGCAGCAAAAGGAACAACAACAACAACAAAAAATCAGCCATTTCAGAGCTGGAGACAAAGCAGTGTCCTCTGCTTTGAGGAAAATTCCTGTTTATGCAGACGTTTGTTTTTTTTTTCCACCTTAGCTGTAACTGGACTCTGCAAACAACAGGATGCTCATCTCCAGCAGAGACACAGGCATGCGCTTGAGGCTACGCTGCTAAGTCCAAGGGCGTCTCCTGCCCTTTCCAACTGGCTGTAACAAGAGCTCTGAGCCCAGGACAGGAGATAACCCCGATGCTGTTTCACCTCTTGCCTCTGAGTCTTCTACTGCTGATTTCCATGAGCGCGGAATCTGGTACAAACATCTGCTCTCCACTGCAGAGTATCATGTACATCAAGCACAAGGAGAAATGAAAGCTTCCTCCAAGTAGCTGAATCAGGGCTATTTATAAATTAGCATACATCAGAAACAGCGGCAGCTTTTTGCAGGGGGACAGCAAAGATCACCACAATAGGGCTCCAAGTTCTCCTTATCCTTCTTTATAGCTCAGTAACACCGGGTCATCCTCCAGGCATCCTTGCATACAGTGAAAAACTGTCATAAGGAGATTGTTTACTAAATGAGCAATATACGGGCCCAGATTTACCCAGTGGGGGAACTAAAGGCTGGGGGCCTCCTGTCCCCTCTCCCCTGCCCTCCCGCAGGGCAGGGCTGGGTTCATGCCAGCTGCCGCCTGAGGCCAGAAGGGCAAAGTTTGGCAAGTGAGGACCAAGGTCAGGACACCTTGGCTCTGGCAATTTTTCTCAGCTGCGCTGGCTAACTCCTCGGTGACCTTGATCACATTCTGTCTCTGGCTCTGTCTTTCCCTCTCTCAGATGAAGCTTACTGAGGAGGTTTCATATGTTGCATTGTAATTTAAGAGGGTGCTGTCACCCCAGTGCCACTGAAATCCCATTCTACTAAGGTGAAATGGGAGTTTGACAGGCCCCAGAAAAAAATAAATTGTATAATCAGGTGTTGAAAACACAGAAAGAGCTCAGGGTTGTCATGCTATTGCTTTCTCTCTGAATTCAGCTTTTTTTCTGCAGAATTTAGTTCTTCTCTACTTAATTACATCCTCAAACAGAAACAATGTCTTTACCTATGCTTGATCACTTAATAAAACCCATGAAAGTAAGCAGTTGCAATCAGGGAAACTTCATTTGACATGTCTCACCAATCCAGAACCTGCCTGTTTGGAACAAAATGAACACACACATACAAGACAGATAAAACGACCCAGCTCAATCCAGCATTACACGATAGAGCCAGCGAAGTGCGACATTTTAATCCTAGAAACAATGAAAGCAACCATCGAGTTTGCCAAGTCCTTACTGTCTGAAAGGGAAGAGGCGTTCAGGCTGGCACTGCTACCCCTGAAATGAATGGTGAATTAAAATAGTTGCAAATGCAGTATACAACTCGTTTCTGTGCTCAGGAATGTGGAAAACCAGAGGCATTACCACTGCCTTGGCTTCATTCTCTGAGCACTGCGCTGGTTCCAGCGAGACTGCCTGCGAAGGCTGCTCCGGGAATTGGTCACGAAAGTCCTCAGAGCCGTGCTTGCTTTAGGACAAAAGCGTGCGATCTGCGAGCGCATCTTGGGGGCTTCCGAGGCGGCCAGTCTAAGGAAAAGCTACTGGCTATGGGAAACGAGGGGTCACAAGCACCCTAAGGGGAAGCCGACAGCTAGCCCCAGCCCAGCCCGGGAGCGGCCGGGCACGCTGGGCTGGTCGAGGGAGGGCCGGGCAGCTGCC